TATGTAATACAATAAGCATTGTTAATTTCCTACCACTTTGTTTGTAACTCTGTATTGTCTGTACTGTTGTTTTGCTATTTTGTAAAAGGTTGTCTGTCTGTTAATGTTTTCCTCCTTTTATTTTTAAAATTAAAAAAAAGCAAAAACCAGCTTTATGCTTACAGAAGAGTGAGTGGAAAGTATAGAGATTCCCATAGATTCCCCTGTCCCACTGCCGGTTTTCCTTGTCTGTAATGCGTGGATTCAGGGTGTACATTTGCAGCAACAGGTCAGCCAATCGGGTGTGTTATCATTCACTGAAGTCCTCAATTTACATTAGGGTTTCCTCTGTGCTCTGTATTCTACGGGCTTCAAAAATGCAAGATGGGTGGGGGAGATGATGCTTTCCAGCAGAGCTCTTACCTGTCATGAGCGAGACCTGGGTTCAATCCCCTGCACTGCAGCAAAACAAAACATTGTAAAATTATGTCTGTCCATCATTAGAGGATCGCACAATATTTTTGTTGCCTTAAAAATTGCTTGTATGGTTGGGGATATAGTTCAGCAGCATAAATTTGCCTAGCAAACTCAAGGTCCTGAGTTTGAGTTCCAGTACAAAAAAAACCCACTTATAATCCCCTGTCCTTTCTCTTCTCTGTTCTCACATTTCCTGCCCTCTACTTGTCTTTTCACTGTCTACCCAGTTCTTTCTTTTCTAGAATGTGACATAAGTGGTAAGCTGTGGTATGCAGTCTTCTCAGCTTTGCAGTTTCACTTCATGATATGCACTTCAGGTTTTCCCGTCTGTTCTTGGCTTGATACTTCATTTCTTTTAGACATTGAATAATATTCCAATGTATGCATGTACCACGGTTTTTCTACTGTACTTATTAAAGACATCTTATTTTTTGGTCACATTTTCTAATTTCTTGCATTTAAATGTATGATACAGAGCATGAAATGACAGTATTAGCTTTTAAGATCTAAATTTCAACGGTGAAACAGTTATAATGTCCGCAGTGAATGAAGGAAAACTCCTAGGTTCATCGCTTTTTTCTCTTTCATTATTTTTTTCAGGGAGTGAGAGTGGGATTATTTGCCTCTAGTTGGAGATATTTTTTTAAAAAAAATATTTCATTAGTATGTGTGTGCCATACATAATAAACCCATTCATCACAGGGAATTGATGCACACACACATCACATTCTTTTTTTTCTGCTTCCTCTCCTTTCCCCCTTATCTTCCCCTCTCTAGATCCCTTTCCATTTCAGTAAAGTCTACCTCTTTGTTTCCTGTCATCTGTCCTTTATTTTGCTCCTTAAATTATTTATATTTTGAGTTTTTCACATAACAGAAGCCATGTGACATTTAAACTACTATGTCTGTTTATTTTACTTAGCATTATGAATTCAAGATTGATCCACTTTCCTACAAATGACTCAAATTTATCCCTCTTTATGACTGAGTAGTACTCCTTTTTGTATATAGACAATATTTTCTTTATTCATTTATCTGTTGGTTGGCTTATAGGCTGCTTCCAAGTTTTACTTATTATGAGTTATGCTACTATAAACAGAAGTATGTGGTATCAAGGTTAATATGATGTCTTTAACTTCTTTGGGGACATACACAGAAGAGGTTTGGCTGTGTCAAATATTACCTCTATTCTTAGTTTTTTGAGAAATCTCTGTGGAGGACCACCAGGATAGCTTTCCTTGAAAGAAGAGCATTCACCTCCATTTTGGCTAAACCTAGCTCTACTTCTGTGTACTCATATGTGCACAGCTGGCTAGGACATTTCTTTACCCCCTCAATTGTCTTTAAGCAATGCAAATGGGTCTAGTGGAGGTGATGATGTGTAGTCTTTAAAGCAATGTCACAGACAAACGATGCCCTGCCTGTGGCTTCCAACTAGTATGTATGAGCTAGGTAGAGTGATGCCATCCTGTTCACTGAGACTGAGGCTTGAGAAAGAATCTATGAGGTCTCAGGGCATGAAAAACAGACAGCAAAGCTAAAGCACCACCCCAGAACAGAAGATACTTCCTCAGACTGTGTTATGCAGATTACTTTTTCTGCATACCTCTCTGCATGATGCAGAGGTGCTATTATGCCTCCTACATAGCCCAACTCACAGCACTCAAGTACTTTCTGCCAGTCTCTCAGTCACTCACATCCCTGAGCCATTCCCCACTTCACAAATTAATAAAACCCGAGTTTGGCCCTGGATCAAGGCCTTTGTTCAGGTTAGCCATTGTTCTAACTGGACTTAGGACCCCTTTGGCTCCCCACCGCTACAGATATGTGTTTATCTCCTTTTTCTGGCCATGGGTTGCACTGAAAGTGGTACACTGCAATTACTTATTGGAATTCCAATAACTTTTCCCTGGGATTACAAATAGAAACTCCACCAGACTGCAATGAGGTCCAGAAGGGCCCTCTTTCAATCTTCATACTGATTTCCAAAATAGTTGTAGCAGTTTACATTCTGACCAACCATATAGAAGGGTTCCTTTCCCCACAATCTCACCAGCATTTGTTGTTTTGGGAGTCCTTGATGATAGCCCTTCTTTCTGGAGTAAAATAGAATCTGGGTATTGTTTTGATATGCATTTCCCTAATGACCAAAGATGCTAAACTGCTTTTCATGAAACTATGAGGTATCTGTACTTCCACTTTTGAGAAGTATCTGTTCATTTTACTTGAGTGGTGGGAATATTTCTTCATGATGACTACTCTCACCACATTCACTTATCCCACAACCACATGGGTACTTAATTTTTATGAAAATAGTCACTTCTCAGAATTTAAGGTGGAAAAGTGTTTTATTTCATATTCAACATTATTTAGAAATTTCCCAAAACTCTATTATTAAATATACATTTCTTTTGCAGGTAAATGAAGAATTCAGAGCTAAAGCATCATAGACATAAAAAAAGGAAGAAAAAATCAAGGAGCTTGAAACATGATTCCAGCAATGTAGCAAGCAGGTAATCATACTAACTATACCTTGTGCTGTGCAACATTTTCAGTGCTATGGTAGAAATTTATATTGTCAAATAGAGAGAAAAATAGAACGCAAAGCATACTTTTTGATAAATTTACATTTTAGTTTAACTCCATAGATCTTATTTTCTAAGACAGTAAACCATGTTCATTCATGCAAAAGATTGAGGCATTAGCTTCTTCAATTGTACTGAATGTTTTGTGACAATAAATCACACAAACAAAACTGCTTTTCAGAAAAAAAATTTGATGATATCAGTGTGTGTTGGTAACGTTGTTTTTGATACCAGGGTTTGAACCCCAAGGCCTCTGCACTAAACTATATCTGCAAACCTTTTTTCTTCTCTCTTTTTAAATTTTGAGTCTTACTCACTCAGTGGCTTAAGTTGCCCTGGCTGGAGTTGAACTTGTGATTCTCCTACCTCAGCCTCCGATGGTGCTAGGATTACAAGCATTTACCATCACACTCTGCCAATACTTCATTTTCAAAAACAAAATTCAGGGCAGGGTATATATCTCAGTCATAAAATGCTTGCTGGGCATTTGTAAGGCCTTGGGTTCAATCCTGAGCACTGCAAAAATAAATAATTAGGTTGATAGATTAGTAACACTGATAAGTTAATAAACTGTACAACCTCTAAAAGAATCTCACAAACATCTACCTTTGTGTATTCTGGGCTGGATATTTTATGGCAAGCACTTAAACTTTTGATTACTTATATTACAGGAGCATGACCCCTCAGTTGGCACGTCAATTTCAGGAACTCTTCGAACTCGTGCACCACCAAATTGAGAGCCATCCCAACCGCTATCCCAACATGTACGACCCCACCCCAGACGAAGTTCTGTTTTTGATCCAACTGCTTTACCTGCACTAAGTGGTAAACATCACCACTATCACCTTCGTTTGGGGAGCCTCTGCCTCTACCACCACCTTTCTTAGGAGAACCCTTTTAAGACTCACCACCTGCTCCATCATATAGAGAGAGGCAGAAACAAATGAATAAATGTGAAGGGCATATGTTGACTATTTTTTGATGATATTACTAATGGCTCCCAGAGCCTTCCCACTGAGCTATAGCACCATTACTTTTTGTTTTTTATTTTGAGTCAGGATCTCATTAAATTGATAAGTTATTCTGGTTGGGCTTGAACTTGGTATCCTTCTGCCTCAGCTGCCAAGAATGCTGGGATTATAGGCATTTGCCATTGTGCCCAGCTCATACGTTGATTCTTCAACAACATGAGTTCAAGGGCAAAACTTTGGTTTTGGTATCTTCTGGTCATTGGTGGTCATTAAAGTAAGAAGACTATGTACATATATAAGTATTATATAATGCTAGAGGCTATGGCTACTGACAATTTTCTTTATGATCTTGCTATTTTATGCTTCTCTTTCAGCACAATATTTTAGTAATGAGAAAATCTGCAAAAATAACAAATTTATGAAAAGGCAAAGACAAATCAAGAGAGTTCTGTCAGTATAGTTGTATCGGTTTCTAGGGCTCCCATAACAAATTTGTACAAAGTAGGGTGGATCTGAACAACAAAAACCTGTCTTTCAGCTGGGTATGGTGATGTACTCTTGTAATCCCAGTACTCTGGGAAATAGAGGCAGGAGGTTCCCAAGCTCAGCCTAGGGAACTTAGTAATTGAACAAGACCATGTCAAAAATGAAAAATAAAAGTATGGATGAGAATGTAGCATAGTTGTAAGGCTCTGGGTTTAATCACCAAAGATGAATATGTATAGCACAATTTTGGAGTGCTCATGTCATGTGTTGGCATAACCACCCTTCCTCTCTGGAGTTTCTAGAACACAATCTGTTCCTTTTTTGGACACTACCGGGGCTTAAATGAGGGGGGATTAACAGGGAGCTACATCCCCAGCCATTTTTTGTTTTTATTTTGAGGCCAGGTCTTGCTAAATTGCCTAGGTAGGACTTGAATTTGTGATCCTTCTGCCTTAGCTTCCCCCAATGCTGGGAATATAGGTTGTACCACCATGCCTGGACAGTATGTTCCTTTTCTCTTTCTGTTGGCATTCCTTGGTTTGTGGTCATATCTTTCTCTGCTCCACATTCTCACGGCTTGCCAATTCTGAACCTCAGACTTAGGAGACATCATAGTTTTTCTATTTGTTGTCTGCTCCTCTGCCATCTCCAGGGCTTGGTTGGCTCACAGGATGAATCTTTACTGGGGATAAAACCAAGGGTCTCATATACCCTAGGCAAGTGCTCAAACATGAGCTACATCTCCAGACAATATTTATTTTGAAAGAGGATCTTGATAAATTGCCCAGGCTGACCTAAAATTTGTAACCCTCCTGCCTCACCTTCCTGAGTAGCTGGAATTATAGGAAACACAAAGGATTGGCTTTGATTTTACTTCTTTTTTCTTTTGACAGTGCTAAATATCAAACCCAGTGTCTTCTACATGTTAAACAGGCACTCTACCACTGAGCTAATCCTTCGTGCTATTTTTTATCATTACCCAGTTATGCAGTGAGCATTTAAACCAGTCGTGGTGGCTTACAACCATAATCCCAGCACTTGGGAGGTTGAGGCAGGAGGATCACCAAGAATTTGAGCCAACCTGGGCTACATAGTGAGCTGAAGGGCAGCCTGAACTACACAGCGAGACCCTCTCAAACAACAACAAATACAATGCACTTTTAGATACTTATACCATATTTTATTTTAGTTTCCATACCATTTTTGATCATATTTATGGCCTATTTTTATTCCTTTATTTTAATATTTCCTGTTTGGAATTCTTTTTCTTTTTATTAGTTCATGTTTGTAGCACATAATGATTACACTCATGGTGGGAGTTGGTATATGTACATAACACATCTTAAATCTCTTTTCATCCCCTTCCCTCCCTCTTTTCTCCTCCCTCCTTCCATCTCTTGGTCCCCTTTATTTTGCCAAAGATCTATCTCCCTGTTTCCTATTATTTATCTCTTATTTTGGCCAATAATTTGTCTAAAGTTAATATTCTCATATAAGAGAAATCATGAGATATTTAACCTTGTGTCTGATTTATTTCACTTAACATTATGGTCTCACGGTGCATCCAGGTTTCTACAAATGACTCAAGTTTATCCTTCTTTATGGAAGGGTAGTACTCTATTTTGTATAGATACCACACTTTATCCATTCATCTATTGATAGACATATGGGTTGATTCCAAGGCTTAGCTATTATGAATTGTGCTGCTATATACATGGCTGTATGCACATTTCACTGTAATATTATGTCTTTAAATCTTTTGGGAAGATACCTAGCTGGGGACTAGCTAATTCAAATGGAATTTCTACTTTTAGTTTTTGAGGCATTTGCATACTGATTTCCATAGTAGCTGTACTAGTTTACATTACCACCAACAATGTAAAGGGCCTGCCCAATCCACAGCCTCTCCAGCATTGGTTATTGGCTGATTTCTCGATGATAGCCATTCTTTCCAGAGTAAGATGGAATTTCCATGTTTTTTAATAAGAAATTTATTTTTTAAATGCTTTTTTTCCCCTTTGTACTGGGAATCAAACTCACAACCTTGCACTTGCGAGGCAGGCGCTGGGCCACAGAGCTATATACCCAGACCCTCTCCATGTTGTTTTAATTTGCGTTTGTATAATGGCCAGAAATATTGAGAAATTTTCTTGTATTTGCTGGCCTTTTGTACTGCTTCTGAGAAATATTCATTCATTTCAATTGTCCATTTTTGATTGATCTTTTATTTGGGGTGGTCTGTTTTTTTCGAGTTCTTTATATATTCTGGATATTGTTCTTCCATTTGAAGAATAGCTGGTAAGATCATTTTCTCACTCTCTAGGTTGTCTCTTTACTCTGCTATGTGTTTCTTTTACTGTGCAGAAGATTTTTAATTTGATATGATCTCATTTAGTGATTCTTGATGTTGTTTCTTGTGCAGTTGAGGTTTTGTTCAGAACATCCTTATCTGTGCCTATGTCTTCAAAAGATTTACTTCTTTTTTTTAAAAAAAATTATTTTAAAAATCCAAAAAAACCTTACAAAACAACAATGAAGAAAAAAATCAAAACAACACAAAAACAACAAAAATGATACATGACCTCAAAACAAAATGATAGGAATTAACAATGTTTACTACATTACATACTGTTATCGTCAATGAAGTTGCTCAGCCCACCAGATGTAAAACTGTAAGATTGATCACAATCAAAGACAATAATGAGTAATAAAAATGAATTGGAAATGATGCAGAGCTTCACCATACAAGATGGAAGGGGTTCAACAGAATGGTTCTTATATTGCATATTGTTGTTTTTAAATCAGTCATTCTGATTACCAGATTGAAGTGTGCAAAACTGGTCAAGAAAAAAGAAAATTTTAAGCACTGACTGTTCCTTTAAGTAAACCACAGACATCAGCAATACACCTATTCCAGCTATCCTTGTATATACATGTAAATTTTGTTTCATTCTAAAGAGAAAAGGAAAAAAATCAAAATAACAAAAACAAATACATAAACAAAACAGCATAGAGGACAATATAAATGATACAGAATTTCAAAACATGGTGATAGGATATTAACAATCGTTTTTATATTACATATTACATAATGTCATCTTCAAAATGGTTGCACATATAACCAGATATAGGCATGTAAGACTGATCAAACAATTACACATTACCAGTTCCTTTCAATAAACCAACAGATATTAATAGTACAGTTATCCTGGCTATCTTGTATATGCATATACATATTTTTTCCCTCTTTCTTCTATCTTTTTCCTCCCCCCTCCTTCATCCCAGTTGCACCTTCCTATTTGAGCGTTTCATTTCCCTTTCATAATATCCATTGTACCGTTCAGATTTTATTTACTCTTTCATGTTCTTATAATAGGGAGGAAATATGATGTTTACACATGTGAATCTAGTTTATTTCACTTATGAGTATGGTCTCTAGTTGCATCCATTTACCTATAAAACCCTCTAAGTTATCTTGCTTTATAGCTGAGTAATACTCCATTGTATAAAAATATCACATCTTTTTTATCCATTCCTCAGTTGATGGACATTTGGGCTGTTTCCAAGATTTAGCTTTTACAAATTGCACAGTAAAAAAACATGGGTGCACATATATCATTGTAGTATGATGATTTCAGTTCTTCTGGAAAAATACCCAGAAGGAGAATAGCTAGGTTGAATGTGACCTCTAATCCTACTCTACTGAAGAATCTCCAGAGTGATTTCCACAGTGATTGCACCAGTCTACACTCGCACCAACAGTGGAGAAGAGTTCCGTTTTCCCCACAGCCCCTCTAACATTTGTTATTGGCTGATTTCTTGATGATAGCCATTTTTTCTGGGGTGAGATGGAATCTAAGTGTTGTTTTAATTTGCATTTCTTGAATGACTAATGATGTTGAACATTTTCTCATAAATTTATTTGCCATTTGTATTGCTTCATGTGAGAAGTATATATTCATCTCAGAAGCCCATTTTTGTATTGGGTCTTTAAATTGGGGGGCCTAACTTTTTTTAATTCTTTATATGGTCTAGACCGGAGTTCTTTGTCTGAGGGACAGTTGGCTGAATTTTTTTTCAAATTTGTGCAGTTTCTTTTCACCCTGTTGGTGATTTCTTTTGATGTGCAAAACTTTTCAAAAAGGTGAGAACCCACCTGTTGATTCTTTGAAGTATTTCCCATGCAGTTTGGTTTTAGTTCATGAACTCTCTACCCACCCTTATATCTTCAAGACTTCCACTTACTTTCTGTTCCAGTAGATCTAGTGTTTCTGTTTTATTTTTATTTTGTGTGTGTGATTTGGAAGTACACATTTATTCAGCATGCAAGCATTTAAAAAAGAATTTGTAATTTTATTCACATCCAAGTGCTACATGAATAACAAAGCTGTGTACACTTTGTGCAAATGCTGACAGATAAAATTTCCCTCAGTAACTTTATTCTTTACAATAGATAAATAAATTAAACAGGTCAACATTTAAAAGCATCATATACAAAATTGCCTTGCTGTCAC